TCTGGAAGGCTTTTCTGACCACGTGGGCAGTAGACTGAGACTAAAGCTGCCCTGGAAAAGAAGTGAGGGAGACCTAACCAGGCCTCACTGAGGTTTATTTGTGATATAACGGACTGTCTACACCGGCACTGCAGCATCTCATACCTCCACCTTGAATTTCAATACTACTACTAGTACTGCCAGTGCTATTAAATTAATCTGATCAACACATTTTAGCTGGCTGAGCTGTACAGGATACACTGATCCTGCAGAATGTCATCCCCTGTATCACAGAGGCGGTAGGAGACCTTCTCCTTACTCGCACAGAGTCACCTGTTGGCCTCCACCTGGTCACCTGTGGGACGCCATGCACCGGAGAGTGCACATTTGGTAGTGAAGGAAGGGGAGACAAAGAGAGGTGGGAGAGGGGAGAGGAGAGGGGAACTGGTTCATTGCATACCCCCAAAGCACTCTCTAGGTTACAGACACTCTCAAAACACAGCAATTGGAGGAAAACCCCACAAACACCCTGCCGCCTGCAGTAGTCAGGGTGTGGACCAGGAACCAGCATCCCTGTGTGCTGTGCAGTCCCTGTGATCAGGCCACTGGGTGTCACTCTTAGTCTGTGTTCCTTTGGGGTCAGGTCTCTGAAGATGGCCCAGCATTTGCTGACGTCTCCATCTTCTTCCCCCAGCTTCCCTCCCTGTGCTGGTGTATCTGCTCTGGAAGGCTTTTCTGACCACGTGGGCAGTAGACTGAGAGTAAAGCTGCCCTGGAAGCTGACTCTGATCAGCACATGGGGGAACAGCCTGTCTGTCATGGAAGCAAGCAGAGCCCAGCGTAAGTAACTAAAACAGCAGCAGCAGCAGCTTGAGAATGAGTTCTTAAAATATAGAAATATTTCACTAATTTTGTCACTGTCATTGTTATTTCCTTCTTTCTATATTCTTTGTTTTTCATTTTATTAATTTCTAGTCTTACATTTTCATTTAACTGTTTCATTCTATAAAATTGAACACTTAGATGAAATGGAAATTAAACCCTGGAAGAAGGATTGGAAGGAAAAACAAGAACAGATAAAACCTTTAGAGAAATAGAAATCATGTTTAAAAAATCTTTTTATTGTTATTTACCCTCTTGAGAAATTAATGTGCTTTTTCAGCCTGAAGAGTCATGTCTTCATTCTGGAATATTATCAGTCATTTTCCCGGTGAATACTGACTCCCTTTCAGTAGTTGCTTCTGGAAGTTCTATTAAATTATGTTGGGATTCTCATTTTCTATTTTCTATTCTATATCTTGCTTAATTCTTTTGTAGTTTCTATGGGCTTCCCTTGTGGCTCAGCTGGTAAAGAATCTGCCTGCAATGTGGGAGACCTGGGTTCAATCCCTGGGCTGGGAAGATCCCCTGGAGAAGGGAAAGGCTACCCACGCCAGTATTCTGGCCCGGAGAATTCCATGGACTGTATAGCCCATGGGGTTGCAAAGACTCGGACACAACTGAGCGGCTTTTACTTTCACCTTGTTTTTACAGCTATATTCTGGGTTTTTTCCATAGCTCTGTGTTCAGGTTCAAGGATATTTTTCCTCTGCTGTGCTGAATCTTTTGTTTAACCTATCCAGTGAGTCCTTAATTGCAGTGCCTTTTTATTTGTTTGTTTATAGGAGTTGTATTTGAAAATTTATCAAATGTGTTTTCTTTTTTTAAAATCAAATTTGTATTCTGTCAAATAAAATTTTATCAAAAAAGTTTTTGGTTGTTCTACCTGGTTATTTATCAAATTTGTCTGTCCATAATGCTCTATTCTTTCATTATAGTTCCTAATTTTAAAAATCTTTTGAATAACCTTAAACACTTATTTTAGGTGCCCTTCATTTTCAGTTCTTTTATTTCCCATTTTTTGCAATGCTAATTCACTGGCTGGTTACATCTGCTGGTATCTTCTCCAGATAGTTAATTTCCTTGTGAGATTTGTGTCTCTGTAACTGTGAACCACCCTGAACTAGTCTTCAACCTATATACCCTGCACTGTTAACAGTATCCTTATAGAGTAGTGTTTGCAATTGTTTCTGTTGCCTTCCTAGAGAATCAACATTGAAGGGCCAGTTTTTATCACTTACTTCCCTGACTGGAATTCCTGTAGAGTGCAGGGCAAATTCAGATCCTACACCTTCTCAAGTAGTGGTTCTGAGGGTTTGACTTTTCCTCACAGGTGTGTGGTTTTTTTCAGGGTGTCCTTGGAAGGTTGAAGTAAGCTTTCTAATGCCTTTTTGATGGAAAAGCAACACTTTTAGGCTTCAAACTTCATGCAGGGAGCAAATGTCCAGCTCTCCTGCTTTACACAGGCCCAAGGTCATGTCTAATAAGGGAGGTGGTGGTGGACATTAGAAGACCAGCCCAGCTCTGAGGACCAGTGTTCAGGCTGAGAACCCCCAGGGTCTCCATGGCATCTGCACCCACGAACCCATAAGGCTTTGAATCATGTGCTTGTTTCTGGCTCCCACAGATTTGCCTTTCTTTCTCTAAAACTAAATATGAATTAAAATATTTACCTTTGTCACATTTTATCCTATCTTGAACTTGAGTGATTCTTGATTTATCTTCAAGATAAACTTGAGTTTATCTTCCGGTTCTCTTATCAAAAGTTTTCAAACAGGGTTCTCTGAGCTGTGAGGGAGAAGAAAAAATGACAGGGTTGTTGACACCTTCACCACTTGAAACCCTTCCCTCTTCTTGCTTTAAACAGGCAGCTCTTCTTGTACACTGCTCTATGACAGCCTTGCAGTGTGACCCTGGCAAACAGTTAGCTGTTCTGTGCCTCTGTTTCTCCATCTGTAAAAAGGGAACAATTACAGTGCTGCTTCACTCGGCTGTTGTGAAGATTAAATGAGGTAATATACATGAAGCAGTTGTGTCACTGCCTGGTTCAAAATAAGCACTCAGCAAGTGGTCTTTGTAAATTATTGAGCTCCAAGTTACATTTCTTTTTAAAAATGATTCTGAACTAAACAAACAAACAAAAAAAAACCAAAGTATTTTTAGAGCTAAATGGGGCTTTCAAATCTATCCATATACATTCTAGACTGGGTACTTTCTAAAAGATCTTCTAGTTTGAAAATTCTTTACTTCTATATCAACACTATAGTAGGAAGGTTAGTTTTAGCCAAGCTCAGAAAACTAGCAGGGTGGGCATAAAGATCTCTATTGTTTATGGTGACTTTCTTCCAGCCCCCTGACATTCCTTCAACCCCACTTCCCATCCCTAGCTATTCTATTTTAATGGTTCACAATGAACTTGTTGTAACAGTTGTACAAGCTTCCTTCTGAGTAGAGTCAGCTTTGCTTCACAGTTTTTAAATGTTGTGTCACCTATCCCTAGAATTTTTGCTAAAATCCCCTAACTATAAAGAAATTCCATTTAATGATCTCTCTCTGATCTTTATGTATATGGTAACCCCTACTACATTTCCTATGAAAGTGGGGACCATGTAGTCTCAAGGAATAGATAGGGTTAAGGGAAGGGCTTCGCTTTGTTTGATGAGAGAAGGTGAAATTAGGAGGGGTACTTTCATTCCTGCTCTGATCTACTCAGCGATTGTTCAGCTCAGTCCCACATTCATGAGTCAGTAACAGCTTTTTTTACTTGGGAGCGTGACTACATTATGAACCAGTGAGATGACGAGTCAGGGCTGAGCCAAAAGCAATGAGGGTTGATGGTCTCCCACCACATCCCAGAGGAAAGTGCAGAAAGCAGTGGTTCTGTGGCCTAAGTCAGGGGTAAGAACTTCACCATCTTCAGTGACAAGGTAGGTCCATGGAAGAGACAGGAAACCAGAGTGTGCCAGCTCCTCTGCAGGCTGCTCATATTCATACAACATCTGCCTACCACATAACATCTGCCTACCACCTGACTGTACCTTCCTGGTCTCTTCTGAAGGTCCAAGCCCCTCAAGATCAACAGTCTTTTTAATTGTGAATAGGTTGTTTTAATGCTACCAAGAATTTGGAGCTATGGTCACAATTGAGGCTATGACTTAGGTAACTGTTGATGGGTACTGTTGGTATAAAACATCCATAGATACTTAGGGCATGCTGTCAAATGTCCAGTGGAAGTAGTGAGAATATTAAGCCAGGTGCACCTAAACTCTTAATGCTCCTGTGGTTTGAGGATACAATGTGTTGAGAGTAGGACAGGGGTCTTAGTAATAGAAGGTTGTGATTATGTGAACTCAGACAGGAAACTGATCATATCAGTTTACCATGGAGTATCTCAGCTTACGGTCTCAGTAGTAAGTGTGACATTCTAAAACTTAGAGAGGGTGGTCAGAGCCAGTCCTGGGATGTTGTAGATATCATGTCAAAGGCAGGACAGCAGGAAAAGTGGGGGCTCTTTCTTTCCAGCCTTTTAAACAGCCAAAGCCTGACACTCCTTTCAGAAGGTCAATAGCTGCCTCATTGCCAAATAAATCAGGGCCTCCTTGGTCAAAAGCAAGGTTATGATTCCATCACTGTGAGTTATCTTATACATACGATGTGAGGTAAGGACTCAAATTCATTCTTCTTCATGTGGCCATACAGTTCTCCTGGCACCATTTGCTGAAAGAGTATTCTTTCCTCCATTGATTTGGTATCTTTGTGGAAAATCAATTGATCATAGGTACATGGATTTATTTCTAGACTCTCAATTTTATTATGATGATTTATCTGTAGATAGCACCAAACTGTCTTGATTTCCACTGCTTTATAATAACTTTTGAATATTTATTTTCAAGACTATTTTGACTATTCTGGGTCCCTAAATCTCCATTTGAACTTCAGTATCAGGTAGTCAATTCTCTTTTAAAAAAGGAAGCTGCTGAGATTTTGGTAGGGATTGTATTGAGTCNCCCAGCGGCTCGGGAGCCCAAAGGGGGTGTGGACCACAGGGAGGCAGGGCGGGGGCAGCGCGCTGGGCGCCGGGCTCCGCTGGGCAGCGCGTCCCCGCCCGGCGTCCACGAGCAACGACCCGCCCCGGGACCCACCTCTCGGCCAGCGTCGGGAGCCAGAGGCCCCTGCCCGGGCCCCTGAGGCCAGTTCATGAATCCTGGTCCTCGTCTGGGGTCTCGAATTCCAAGGCGAGCAAAGAGAAATAGGAGAGCTCGACATCCATGATGCGGGCTCGCCGGGTGGCCGCGCGGGGGGCGCGGCTGCTCGCTGCTGCCACCTGCTGGACGCGCCGGCGCGCGCCCAGGCCCCGCCCCGCCCGGGCTTCTCTCTGGGTCCTGGGCTGTGAAGGGGAATGGATGGGACCCTGTGTCCCGGGGCGGACCAGGGGGTGCTTGAGCGCTGCTTCCCTCCCTCGATATTCGGGTCTAAGAACTAGACAATGACAGGAAAATAGACCCTCCATGAGAGAGGCTGTGAAGAAAGGATTGGCTTTGAAGGAAGACAGTGTTCACTTCCAACTCTGCTTCTAACCAGCTGGGTGTAGTCTGGTCTTTGAGCAGGTCGCTGCTGGCTTTGCCTGGTGTTCCTCAAGTGTAGAAGTGGGGCCTGGACAAGTGAATAAGAGATTAGGGGTTCCTCCAGTCTCCTAACTCTGTTCCTACCTCCCACTTCATACCCCTTATCACTGACTCATTTGTTACAATTATTTATCATCTCTCTTTCCCATGAAAATGTTAACTCTATGAAAGAATGGATGTATTTGCTGACTTTACCACTGTACTTACTTTCCCTCCTAAACTTGTATCAGTGAAGGCCTGCCCCACAGTTGGTGCTTAATCAGTATTTGTTTAATGAAGCCTCCAGGTCATCGTCAATATTTCTTCCACTCAAGGTTCTATAAGTGTTGGTTGCGTTATTCTTTGCCAAAACATTAATTAGGACAACTTTATGGTGTCCTAGTCAAGAGCCTAGCTCTGTATTCAGCCTGCCAGGTTCGGAGTCATGGCTCTATCACTTGCCAGATGTGTGACCTTTGGAAATTTACTCAGCCTCCCGGGCTTTCAAATTCTTCATCTGTAGATCAAGATAATGATTGTAACTACCTGATTGTATGGTGTGGTATATTAAACAAGCAAACTAATTTAAAAAATTAGTATAGTGCATCCATATGAAGCCCTCAATGTATGTTAGCTATCATATCATTGTTTACTTAGACTACTTCATGTGACAAATCCACCATCTAGCTTTGTCTTCCAGCAGGCCTGCTAGACCTTTCCCTCATCCATTGCTGTCTGCACTTGCCTGCCTGGGAATGTGTGGTGAGCTCTGCTGCCTTGGGGATTTCAGGGTGTGGTCCTTCCCCTGGGCCAATCACAACGTTGTTAAATGAGGCTGGCCCTGTCCTTGTTTCCATTTCCTTGCAGAATAGTACTCAGACAGGGACCAGGCAGAGGGGAGCAGGTTATGGTTGCTTCCCTTCTCAGATTCCAGCCACTTTCTTGAAATGGCAGTAAGAATCTAACCCTGCCTCTTTATGTCACAGTCTGTGAGGATCTGACTGAAAGTGCTTTCAAAGCAGTGTAAATTCACATACAAAGGTGACATGGTCCTGAGTCCTTTCTCTGTATTCCAGGCTGAGACTAACTTCCTTCTCTAGGACTAAACATTTTCCCCAGTTGGGTGAGCTCAGCTTAATGAAACACACCTAGTGCTTCCCAGCACCTCACAACTAACGAAATGCTTCCCAGGATCTTTCTGATTTTCTCCTCCCAACTACTCTGTAAAGCCCACAAGGCAGGGATTACATCTGAAAGCCCAGGAGCCCCACCCTTGGATGGTCAGCTCAGCCTCCCTCTGAGGCAGGGGGAGCTCCACATTTGAATGTGATACCCCCATACCTCTTTGTCTATGGCACTTTTCATCCTACCTAGCTGGCAGTGATGAATTAGGCTGTTGAAACCTGGACAACTGAAAAACCCCAAATAACTTCTAATGGGAAAACAATCTTCTTCTCCCTAAATAATTATGAGGACATGAAGAAAGGGGTCAACAGAAATAAGATGCTTCAACCCCCAAGAGGACATCCTTATCAGTTGGTGGCCACTGGGAAGGGGCAAGATGAAGCCTGTGCTGGGAGGCTTGGCTGGGAAAGTTGTCAGAAGACTTGTATCTTGGCTTATTCCTTTCAAGGGAATGAAACTGAGACCTGGGAGCAGAGGATCCTTTTGTTTAGAAGTTTGTTTTGATTCCAGGAAGGGTGAGAACAATTCTTACCCGGAAACAAGGAATTATTCCTAGATGTTGGAAAACCACCTGGAGAAAGCTCTGGCACACACTTCTTCTACCTTCAGCAAGGGAAAACAGGAAATCTCTCTCAACCAGCTTCACCCACGGCCATCACCTCCCCCTTCATGACTGCTGCCTGGGCTGCCCTCTCTAAGGTTCTCTACTCCTTGGAGAGCTCCTATCATTCCTATTTGAGGGGTCCAGTGAGAGTCAGGTGCAACAGGCCAAGTCAGAGTTGTCACCCTCACAATAAGGGATGATTCCAGTATTGAGAGTGAAGCAGTAAGCAAACTGATGTATGGGATATTATCCTATTTAGGAACATTTATACATAATGTGTATATATAACATACATATATATAATATTTCTTACAGAAATGGGATCATTTATACAAGTGTCTGGAATGCAGAGCTAGAGGTCTGGAAGGGTGCTCAAAATCACCAGTGAAAGGGCAACCCACTCCAATATTCTTGCCTTGGGAATCCCATGGACAGAGGAGCCTGGCAGACTACAGTCCATAGGGTCACAAAGAGTCAGACATGACTGAAGCAACTTAGCATGTGTGGATGCCTCCAGAGAGGGGACTGAGCTTTGGTAAGGGATGAATTGGTTTAAAGGGGACTCACATTTTTACTTCATGTATAGTTTGAACTTTCCCATGCATGTATTACTACTGTAATGATGCCATTTTAAGCAGATTGCTCAGTTTTCCTGTAGGATGATACTTACCTGACTCCCCCCACCTTGCAGGTACTCCCTCTTGCCCTGCTCCTTTATAAACACCTCTGAAACTTCCCTCTGTACTCTCTGCCTTTCAGTTATTGTTCTCCCCGAATCCTCCCAAATATGCTGGAAATTCTTCTCTCATGTCATCCCTATTCTCATATCCCTTTCTACCCATCTTGGCCTCCTCATCCAGCCTGACTCTGAGGCACGCATTTTGGTGACTCTCTCCAGCCACTTATTTTTTCAGCCCAGTGTTTCCCTGCCAGGCCTGCTTTGCCAGCTGGGAACTGCCTGCTGTCCCTGCTTTGTTTTGAAATTACTGGAAGGAAGACATAAACTCTCATGTCTAGAACCCTGCAAACTCCTAATAGCCAGCCCACCCCACCTCTCACTGTGCCAGCAGTCCTCTTACTGCTTTCTAATCAGTTTCTTTTTGTGTGTGTGTGCATTATTTAATTGGAGGCTAATTACTTTACAATATTGTAGTGGTTTTTGCCATACATTCACATGAATCAGCCATGGATGTACATGTGTCCCCCATCATGAAACCCCCCTCCCACGTCCCTCCCCATCCCATCCCTCAGGGTTATCCCAGTGCACCGACCCTGAGTGCCCTGTCTCATGCATTGAACCTAGACTGGCGATCTATTTCACTTATGGTAATATACTACAGTGGAAGTGAGAAATAGATATAAGGGACTAGATCTGATAGACAGAGTGCCTGATGAACTATGGATAGAGGTTCATGACATTGTACAGGAGACAGGAATGAAGACCATCTCCAAGAAAAAGAAATGCAAAAAAGCAAAATGG